CTGATTGTCATAGCAAAGTCAGAATTACCTTCTCTCCTAGGTTCACGAAACGGTCGTCCATAAAATGCATTGCTGTTCTGTTGTAAGTAATCTTAAAGATTCCTAAATGCATGTACTTTCGGATGGCCAAATAAAGTGCTTTTGCTTTCACTTAGAAACACACACCGTCTCCTTGACATGGCTGCTACTAACTGCGGTTACTGAAACCACGCCTTCTTTCTTTGCGTGAACATTTGGGCGGCATTACGCAAATATTTCCACATTAGTGAGGTAGATATGTGGGGGCGTGTTAGAACGAGCTGTTTTAGGGGGGCGTGGCAGAGTCTTAACTTTGATAAAGAATATCTCTTTGGTTTTGAGACTTTAGTCTTTGCAACTTCAGGGATCTTATCTATGCACAATCAGCTTGTAACACTCCAAAGAGAAAGGAAAACTTGAAATCGCATCATATGACCCCTTTAAATAAGAGAAGTTAAACAAGAATTAGATCGTGCTGTGTAAAAGTGTTAAGTGTAAAAACAATAGTCAGGTCATTGGCGCCCTCTGCAGGCATTTGATATAATACAGAATGTACATAAGTTATTATTATATTGTTTTATTACATTATGTATTTTAACTGTTTTGTTCAATAAAACCATATGATTACTTGCTTTTGATATTTTTTATCTGAAACAATTATTATTGCCTTATTGCTATTATTTTAAGTCGTTTTAAAGTCATAAAAACGACGTTTGCTTAGGTCTATTTTTATTACCACAAAAATGTATCTGAATACTCGATTAATCGTCAGAATAATCGAGTGATTACTCTATTACCAAAATAATTGTTAGTGACAGCTCTATTCATTACTGTACTTAAATGATACCTTTACTATGATACATTCTTCCAGACCATTTAATTAAATGTGTGACTGTAAACAACAACAAAAACACCTGGAATTGCTAGTGTCGTCTCACATACCCAAACCTTTGAGTAACACCATAAAGTCTGAGCTCTCTCCGCTAGCGACCAATCACAGTTTATTTTGTTCAACGAACGTAGAAACATTGGTTGTTCATTCAAGATCGGCATGCAAATTAAAGCAAATAAAAAAACAGGTGAATCAAACACAAATCTGACGTGAAGAGCTTAGCGATGCTCATTGCCCAACTGACAACTGTTAACTTGTAAGATTAGAATATTAAATTAGTATTAAAAACAGAATGGGCAAATGTCTGTGACCCATAAAAAATACAAACACATATACATATTTAATGGGTTTATTTTAACGTGCAAACAGCAGCATACAGAATAACAGAGCAACAGCAAAACCTGGATTCACACATTGTCAAATTATCACGTGGATGCAGCTCTTCTGAGATCAAAGAAAAACAGAATAAAATAATTTAAATAAAAAAATAAGGATACACTAAATATTTTCACTTAATTTGCAAATTAAGTTGACAAAATGAAAACACATACCATATCTGTCTACCTGAGCTGCTGTATTTTATTATGCCTTTTATACAGCATTGCATCTTCACATAGAATACAGAAGGAGAACAGGCTCTTCACTTGACAGTATGTGTGTTTCCAGGTGCTGATGGCACAGAAGAAGAGACAACGAGATCAGAGATGGCGAAAGGTGAACGTGAACGGTCCATTATTGTTGTAGATACTGCTATAAGTCAAGCGATTGGAGGGCCACGTGGGGCTGATGGGAGAATCAGAGACAGACAGGGCAAGAGCCTTGTAGTCCGTAACACCGGTACTGAACATACTGGAGTTTGTACACATGGTGAGTAGTTGTCTTTTATTTAATCTTTATCCACTGTCTGCTCTATTTATAGAAGTCCAGCCGTACAGTGACAAACAGGAAAATAATATTTAAACAAATCGACAGAATTCAATTCTGCTGTAAAGTAGCTCTAAAAAAGAAAGAGAGTGTTCATTTACTCTAAGTGCAAATATCCGAGGCAATTCATTTTAATGCGATCGACCAGAGTTCGAATCCACCTTTTGCCAAACTTGTTCTTTTCCTTGTCCCATCACATATCAGATCGGAAAGGCATTTATTTTCAATTAATAATAAAGTGTTTATCGGGTAGGTGTAGGGGAGGGCTTTATTGTCCCAATAAAGCGTTATCCATTTAATAATTGTAATAAAAATAATTTACACTCAATGTTATTGCATACTGTTTTATAATGTACTACAATACTGAGGTATAAATATCTGCCACTTTGCTAAAGAAAATACTGCTATTTTGGTGTCAATAGAATTTATCATTATTTGCACTTAGTGTAACTAGAATATATTGCTTTTTGCACTTAGGCCGTGTGTCCACTCATCATGCTGCTGGGGTTTTAAAAAATGTGGTGTTCCCATTGGAAACAGTTGAAAAAATATGCTAGCCTCGGGGAAGAAAAAAAAAAATATATATATATATATTTTACACTATGATCTGTTCATATATATATTGGCAAACTGCCAAATAATCAGAAATGAATGTAAGTGAATGAAAGTGTGTTTGTCCTGAGAGAAATGGGCAAGTTGTAAATCTTTTAATGCCTCAAAAGATCAGTGTGAACTTTACTTTTAAGTTTGCATGTTGGAAGGTGCATGACTTGAGTTCACAAACATAATGTTCACTTGTGAGAAAAGAGCAAGTGCTCAAACAAGATTTAAAGGGATAGTTCACCCAAAAATGAAAATTCTGTCATCATTTACTAACCCTCATGTCGTTCCAAACCTGTATGAGTTGCTTTCTTATGTTGAACATAAAAGAAGATATTTTGAAGATTGCTGGTAATCAAACAGTTGGGGGTTGCCGTTGACTTCCATATTATTTTTTTTTCCTACTATGGAAGTCAATGGCAACCACCAACTGTTTCATTACCAGCAATATTCAAAATATCTTCTTTTGTGTTCAACATAAGAAAGCAATTCATACAAGTTTGGAACAACATGAGGGTGAGTAAATGATGACAGAATTTTAATTTTTGGCTGAACTATCCCTTTAACTTATAAAATGAGTCAGAAGTGCTAATGACAATGTGTTATTGAAATGATTTTGTACATTTTATTTCTAATGGTAATTTGATGGTAAATTATTGACATTCATTATGAATTCTTAGAAACGACTACAGACTTGATCTCCAGATCTCCTCTCTTTAAAATTTCTGAGTGTTTTCTTTCAGAATCAACAGGAAAAGGAGTGAATGAAGAAACATCTGTTATTAGTGAATGAGCAACAGAAGAAGAGTTCAGTTTAATGGTATAAGCACGCACATATTGCAGTCTCCACTATTATTTTGTTGTTGTTCCGTCTCTTTAGTTTTATTTTCTACTGTGAAACAGCAGCCAGGGCCGGTGTTGCCACCTTGTGGAAAAACTGATTAGTGCAAGACCAAGTCAATGTGCATGTGTACAAACTAATACACTAATAACAACATAAAGGATGAATAATTCCAAATGAACTCCACATTATAATATACATGTAGCGCATCAATTCTACATGGTAAGACTTTTTAGCTCTCCCTCTCTTTGCATGCGTGAGAAAAACACTGAGCTCTCTCAGCTAAGCAATGGCGAGTTGGGTGCCTTCACACTACAGTTTATGGTGCGTCAAATCTGCTGCGCATCCATTGAGATGAATTAAAATAGCGTGCCTAAAAGACGGAGAGTGAAACTCTCAAGCGTGCTGTGTTCAAAATGAGTGAATCCACAATTGAAATATCTGTGTTAAATGTATACTTGGCATCTAATTCAAATGTTGATTGAAATCTAACAATTTCCCTGCTGGAAAAAAAACATAGCTGGGTTTTGACCACTTCTTTAGCTAATATGGCTGGGAGACCAGCTAAAACCAGCTCGGCCAGGCTAGGAGACAAGCTTGACCAGCTCAGCCAGGTTGGTAGACCAGCTAAAACCAGCTACTTCCAGCTTAAACCGACTAAGACCAGCTAACCAGTTTAGGCTGGTATTAGCAGTTTTTTTAAGCAGGGTTAGCCAATGCCTAATGATAGACATTATTTTGTAAATTTAGTCACATATGCGAATTCTCGCATTGTGGAGGGTTGCTGTGTCTCTTGAAAAGCTTCTTTGGTTTCAGATGAAATGTCGATGAAATGATGAAACACACACACACACACACACACACACATATATATATATATATGTGTGTGTGTGTGTGTGTGTGTGTACAGTATATAGTTGTATTAATGTTCCACTACATACCTGTTACCCTTTTAACATAATTTGAATCTCATAACAATGTGTGTGCGCGTGTTGCTGTTTTATATGATTAACACTAATTAATGTTCTCATTCAACTTTGATCACAGTGTAAAGATTACATGACCTTCTCAAACGTTGCATGTTTTTATGCTACATCAAATAGTAATGCTTAAATATGTAATCCAAAGATATGTTTTTAAATGAATCTGGGGCTGGATTCACAAAAAAAATTAAGAAATAAGTTCCATAACAAGTTCGTAAGAATGTGCCTTAGCGCAATTCTTGAAAAATTCTTAAGTTCTCAAATATGCTTTTAAGAACTTTTTTTTTCTTAAGATCAAAATGACAGTCTTTATCTGATTGAATAAAAGGCGGTTCTTGTTGAAAATTCACTAATTAACCCAATGAAAAACACGTCAAGGATTGACTTTTTATGCTGCCTGCAGATTACCGTAATAAGCAGCACACACACTATTTTTGTCATGACCTTGAAGAGTGTTTAGCTTCACATTTTTAATGCATCATGGTTTTGAACAGTTACGTTTAAAGAGCTTGTCTTAAGATGGATTGATCAACAGTCTGAGGTTGTTCTAACTTTAAGAAGTCATTTATGATGATTTTTAAGAAGATATTTTTCAAGAAATGTAATTTTTCTTAAAGACAAATTTACGAACAATCTTAAGAAAAAAGATAAGGATATTCTTAAGAATAATTTTTGGGAATACAAATATTCTTAACTTTTTTCTTAAGTTAGAAAGCAAGAAGAAAATAGCAGTTAAGAAGAAATTTCTTTTTTAAAACGAAAAAAAATATATGATTCTATATTATCTGTAAATAAAGTGAAACCATGAAGAAACCCAGAGGCTTAACTGTGTCTTGCACAGTTGTTCCTATGTAATTGGTTGCTGAACAAGCCTACTTTACGGAGTAAAAACTACTCACGCAGTACATCTAAACTCTTCTTCTTTTTTATGTATTCAGAATCTGTCTGTTAGTAAACTGTTTTTTGTTTCAATGCAAATTTGATTAAAAGCATAAGTGATTTCTCTGCCCCCTGAGTAACGTCATTATGGTAGCTTTACATTTGAACCAATGTGGTTCAAATGATGGATCTGCGACAAAGTACTGCTCTGGTTACTAACGTAACCTTTGTTCCCTGAGATAACGCTACGTGGAATCACGCTTGGGGAAACTCTTGTTTTGGGGAACATATCATAGTGCTAAGAGCACAAAACAGAAGCCGTCCTGTGAGTCCAGCCCTATAGGATTGCCACCATGAGGGCCCTAAGAAACATAAGCTAACTAGTGAGGAGCACATAAAGATCTGGTCTGTCCGAAATTGGCTAGAGCGCTCCACATAAATCCTGAGGGCCTGGACCGAGCACAGCAAGTTCTGGTCGTCCTGGACCGAGCACAGCAAGTTCTGGTCGTCCTGGACCGAGCACAGCAAGTTCTGGTCATCCTCAGAGGAGGAAAGAGCTAACAGAGTGATGACCTGTGCTCTGAACGGAGTAGAGAGCACTTCAGTTAAGTAACCTAGCTTGGGTTTGAAGACAGCCTTGTAGTCGTTTTGCCCAAACTCCAAACAAGAAGTGTTCACAGAGAGTGCTTGCAAGTCACCCAGATACTTGATGGACACTAATGCTAGCAGCGTGGGGTGGGACATGGGCTTTTAGCTAGTACTGAAGTGAATCTTAAGAACAGTCTGTGATGGGGGGCCATCTGGATATGAAAGTGAGCATCTTTCAGATCCATTGATAGAAACCAGTCCACTGGTCAAACTTGCGCGAGGATCTGTTTCAAAGTCAGCATCCTTAAAAGCAGAATGATCTGGGCAGACTCATCCAAGGTGCAGAGGAGTTTGGCCTAGAAACCTGGAGGGCCACCATCGTATGGAGATGAATCGAAATGCCATAAGTTTGTGCAGTAAAATTTAACAAATCAGGCTTCAGTGTTCAGAGAAAACCGAGTTTCCCCCGAACGTGATTCCATGCAATGTGAGAGATTGTTTCGAAAGGGAACTATGATTTCAGAAAACAAGTTGTCACTACACCGTTTATTTCCCTAATGATGCATCATACTACGGTTAAGCAGTTATCTACGGAAAAAGAAATAGAGAAGCAGATAAGACTAGTGGTGGTGCCGATTCTATTCCTCCTCTGACTGCAGAGGAAGAGAAAGTTTTGGCCATCCTGGGGCCTGAGGCATTGAAAGGGATGACCTTTACTGTTAGAGCTTTTGAAGAACATGCTGTCATTCCCCAGAACTCCTCATGAAATTCAGCAGGCCATTCAAAAGTTCCACAACATTGCCAGCATCCCTAGAGTGATTGGCATTATTGATGGCAATCCCAGTGTCAAGCCCTGTGGTATATGACCCCTTGTACATCTGCAGGAATGGTAATCCAGTCATTATTGTGCAAGTAGTGTGTGATCACCTGGGGATCTTCACTGATATTGTGGCAAAATGGCCTGGAAGCACACGTGACGCTTTTGTGATGCCAGTTTTTCAATTGACCAGGTGATTTTTTCATTTATTTGGGTATATTGCCTATTAAAATTACATTTGGTTTAAAAAATGTAATTGTACAAATAAAGTGTGAGGACAACTCTGAATAGAACACACAGGTGGAGAGCACAATAAACACAATCGTATGTTCTATAATCATTAAAAATGTTATATATCAAAGCGGTGGTCAGTTTCTGCTCTGGTTTTCACACTTTATCTTACACACGTTTACGTGCAAATAAGCAGAAACCTCTGCACCTTTTTGCCACATGTGGATACTGAGAGCTTCAGTTTCGTGTGACACTGCTTACCAATGTTTGTTCTAGCAAAAGCACATTAAACCGCAGCATGTTCCGTTATTTTTCCAAAAATAGAATGTGGACAGTTCCAACAAGGGGCAGTTATCATGGTTTATTCCTTCAATCAGGAATGAGCTACAGTTACAATCCTTCAATTAGGAATGAGGTACAGTAATGACATTCATACTGCATATTCATATTGCAATACAGTATTTATTTGTATAGTGCTTTTTACCACACGTTGTTACAGAGCAGATTTACAAAGAACAGAGCTTTACACTGCATTTCTGGATCTGATGTCATAAACTACAAAAGCAACAGCAGCCACACCCACCAGAACAGTGATGGCCAATCGGATCACAGCTTCAGTAACACCACAGCAGTGAATTTCTGAAGGAGAAAATTAGGACTTCAGTTAGGTTGCTAAAGGAGGGTCATTTGTTTTGAGTGTTTTATTTATTTAATTTTTTATTACTGGAATTTATACCAGGTACCAAACAAATGCTAATATCAACACTGACGTACCTGAACATGTGTGACAGAGTTTGCTGATGTCCAGATGTTGAGTCTGGTTGCTGATGGGATTGTTGAGCACACAGCTGTAGGTGTTTTTATCCTGATATTCCACCTCCAGATGTAAAGAGACACTGCTGATTAGATGAGATACACTGATGCTGGACAATAAACCGTTTCCTTTGTACCAGGAGAGAGTCACATGACCCACATTCAACACTGAACACAGCAGTGAACAATAGGATGATGATGATGAACATTGTGAAGAGTCTCTGGTGATGACAGGAATGAGCAGATGAGCTGGAGAATACACAGAAATTATTTAAAAATTAAGACATCTCAGAAAAATGGCAGAAAATCCATTTAGGATGGATTAATCCTAAAAAAAAAAAAAAAAATCTGGAATCTGGGGAAAATTATGCTTCTACAACAACCGAAACATTAGATGAATAACAATACATATAGCATATACAATATATTATACATATTTAACAATACTAACAGATACATTAGGTACATGTTTGTTCCCCCAACTAAGACCTAATAAATCTACTTCCAATCAACTTTTAAATTAGAAGTATTTTAATATTATGATTTTGCATCAATAAAAGAGTCTGAAATGGACAAGTTACTTACAATAGACAGTAACATTGAATTTCTTGACTCGGGCCCCTGGCCCTCCCTTGATGTTTAGTTCATAGAGTCCAGCGTCTGTGGTTCTGATGTTCATGATGGTCAGAGATCCGGTCTGATGATCCAGCTTCAGTCTGTCTCTGAATCGTCCTTCAGTACCATTAAATAATGAGACCTCATTGTCATCTAAGAGAGCTATGAGAACACCTTGATCTCCAAACTTCCACAGTATCTTATTTCTCTGTGTTACAGTAACATCAGTGTTTAGTGTGACAGATTCTCCCTCCATCACTAACACTGACTTTATTTCATCTGTTTCAACGCCAAACACACCTGCAGAAAAAAAAGTTACAGACAAATGAAAAATACCTGAGAGAAAAGAGCACTAAGCACTACTTAAATTTATAGACAAAAGCTTTTTTTATTTAAATAGCTATTTTTAAATAGTAATTTTTCTCTGTGTCAAGAGTTTGACATGTCCAGATATGTTTTAAGCTAATAACAACGACGCGTGCTTAGAAGACAGTAGCAATCTATATTACAAGTGTCAAACCTGAAGCCATAACTTACCAATGAGATGCCACGAATAATAAAGCAAGGCAAACAGGCAAAGCATTTTCAATAACAACGACGCGTGCTTAGAAGACAGTAGCAATCTATATTACAAGTGTCAAACCTGAAGCCATAACTTACCAATGAGTTGCCACGAATAATAAAGCAAGGCAAACAGGCAAAGCATTTTCTTTTCGTCTCCAGTATAGCCTATTAATTTTCCAAAATAAGAGAAAACTCTTAAAAGTCCACCAGATTTGTAATTACATGACAGATCATCTGAGAAGATACGGTGAAGTGATGTTGTGAAGGTCGACAGTCAGTGAGAATAAACTCGCCTTTCACTTGTGTCAAGTTAAACCCAGGAAACACGAAGCAGGACTTTCAATGGTGTAGTTTTTCCCCTTTTCGGACCTGAGTTACGTGTTCCTTAATGAAACTTTATTAAGCCTTCACCCTCTTAAGCCATCTTTCCACAGTCTCCAAAACATTCGCACGTGATTGTCGCATTTCGCCTGCTAGTTATGGCGGGCCCTAAGGTCCAAAAATAAGACTAATAACTTGTTGCGGGAAGTCACTATACTATTGCCAGGAGCTACTGAGTTTGCCACGACTCACCTTCCTCACACGGCGGGCGACTCACTCTCCTCACACGACGGGCGACTCACTCTCCTCAGCTGGCGACTCACTCTCCTCACACGGCGGGCGACTCACTCTCCTCAGCTGGCGACTCACTCTCCTCACACGGCGGGCGACTCACTCTCCTCAGCTGGCGACTCACTCTCCTCACACGGCGGGCGACTCACTCTCCTCAGCTGGCGACTCAC